GTAGCATAGTGTATAGTGTATAGTTTACATTGTAGCATAGTGTATAGTGTATAGTTTACATTGTAGCATAGTGTATAGTGTATAGTTTACATTGTAGCATAGTGTATAGTGTGTAGTGTATAGTTTACATTGTAGTATCGTGTATATAGTGTTTAGTGTATAGATTGTAGCACAGCGTATAGTGTAAAGTATAAATTGTAGTATATTTTATGTAGTGTATAATTTACATTGTATACTAGTATAGTGTATGTAGTGTATACAGAGCATCTAATGAACATACTTTTTTCTTTCCGTTGCAGAACATAATCAGTGATTGAATGAACATCAGGTGCGCAGAGGAAGGTAACTACCTCATTAAATTGTTACCTTGTCGATTTAATTTAATTAAGAAATATAACTGTCTAATCAGCTGTTGTTAACTGATTAATAGCAGTAGGGCTTCATGTTAGCTCGTGTTTCATCAGGAAGGAAGCGTTTTTTTGTGTCCGGTTTTCTTAGTAATAAATTATTTGATTGCGCGTGCGACAAGGGGGAGGGTATTTATTTATCAAATGTTTTCTGCCTGCGGCTGCTGCACCCGTATATCATTAGCGCATGTATAGCTTAATGTAGCTCTAGGACTATAGTCCCTCGCTCTGCCACAGGTGCCTTTCACCTCTTCCAGGATCTTCCACCCGTGGCAGAGCGAAGGGCTATATAGTTCTAGAGCTAGGCTTGATGTTGAATATGATGGAGGATGGGCGCGGATACAGAGCTATTGTTTCGCCGGGGGCCGCGGGCGGGAAGGGGTGAACGAACACACGGCTGAGCGCTCGGAATCTCTCGCCAGCGTGATTTTTTTGCGTCAGTGTGTTTATTTAGAAGATTGCCAATGACACGTGTGTGTCGAACGCCGTCGGCAGTATCGCGTGACCCGGACTCTGTCTGCTCATCCTCGACACGCAGCATGCTGTCAGTGTGTATCATCTTCGCATCTTCCTCATCCCTCCTTCTACGCACGGCCTC